AGAGGCAAGGCTTTGGACAGACAGGAGGCCAATGGGGAGGAACAATTTATTATAGAGGCCTATAAATCTGGATGCAAAGAAGAATTATTGGAGACTATTTTCTCAACAGAAAAGTCGGCCACTTCTGGTTTTATTAGGAGAGCTTTGGATTCTAATGCTTTATATCCTCATCATCCCAGAAGCTTGCATAATCAAGTCGCATACGCTTTCGACCATGAACTCCAGCATATTGACGCTGAAGAGCAGGTAGATGCCGAATAGCTTCTGTTTATATCTCGACTTACCTACTTGCTTGTCTCATTGTTTTTACCTCTGCTTATTTGTATTTTTGTATGCGTGTCACTCAGTTGTTGTGTATGTACTGATGAATGAGTTGATAGATGGATGTCTATATTATTGAGGTTTATTTATCCATATTTATTCTTGGATTACCTATTTGTCTGCTCATTCTTCAATTTTCTTAAAGCAGCAAGAAGATGGCACCAATGAAACATACGATGAAAACGATGAGGAATACGATGATGCTAATCCGGCCGACACTCCAACAGCCCGTCTCAATCCTCTGAAGCTGTTGAACCAAGCAATGGAGCATGGTGCACGTAGCACTGTTCGCCAATATCGTCTTTCTTTGCTTGCTCATCAGCAACAGCAGCAACAACAGCAGCAACAACAACCGCAACAGCAACAACTTCCTTCTCATTCATCCCAAAATATTACCAGTGCGACTAGGCCTAGCATTCTTCGACACTCCTTGGGATCCAAAGAGGACTCGGATGCTTTGGTGAGCCATTTTACTCCATAACTAAACAATCCGTTCTCCAAGAACAGTTTAAATAATGCCCGATTCTACCAGTAAATTAATCTAAGAACGATCTTCAGCATACTTTGCTTTTGCCAACTAAGCCATGGTATCTGAACTGCAGATGATGAAGTTATGAGGTCTCATTTTGCCTTTGGCTACTTGACCTCGTTCTTTAAAACATCCATAATCTTTGAAAGCGAATGCTTGAGTTGGAAATTAAAATCTTCATGAAATGTGTCCCAAACTTATTATATATTTTTTAATTACTTTTTTAAATATACATCAATGAATATTTCTGAGCAATAGGCAGCAGAAAGTGTGCACATATTTCAATTGAACCCAAGAATTAGAATGGAGCTACACATTACCATTTCTTGATTCAAACATAATAGATATTGAATCATATACAGCAAGGCGGATGTTGACATTTAGTTGAATTTTTTTCAACGATATTTTATCC